AAAAGAAAAGTGTAGAATTAAGCACACACTTTAACCACAATGGACTGAAGTTAGAAATCGATAGCAAGCAAAGCTATGAAAATAAAAATCTGTCAAAACTGAATAGTATAACAATGTGTACAAAAAGAAATTAAAAGGGAAATTAGAATATATATTGAAAACACCACAAATGGTCGCGAAGACCTACGATCCCAGCCACTTGAACTGCTGAGGCAGGAGAATTGAAAGTTCAACTACAGAGAAAATATGTTGGAAATAAAAAATGGAAATGAAGACAAACTATATGAATATCTATAAGACATTACTAAATTATTGCTTAGGGAATATTTTGAACTATGAGTGCCTGTTTAAAAACCAAGAAAAGGGGGCTGGAGAGATGGTGCAGCAGTTACAAGCCCTTGCTCTTCTTGCAAAGGACCCAGTTTGGGTCCTGCAAGCCACATTCAGGGTCACAACCATCTGCAACTCTAGCTTCAAGGGATGTGATCCCTTCTGGTCTCCTCAAACACCCATATACACATGCTCATACATACAATGGTATACACACACACACACACACACACATCTTTTAATAAAGATATCAGCTCAATAACCTGACTGTTTGTCTCAAGACACTGGGAAAAAGGAATAAATAAACCTAAAACAAGCAAAAAGAATAAAATGATGGAGCGTTGAATGGAAATTAATAAAACATAGAATAACAAAACAGTACACAAAATCGATTTATCCCATTTCCATAATGATGGGAAACATGGTTAAAGTGACCACAACTTAGGCAGTACCCACTGAGCCCTCTGCTTGTCATTGTATCTCCCATTTACTAGACTAAGGAGGCAACGCCAGGCTTCCAAGATGGCTTGTTTTAAAATTGAGTCTATATATATATATAAAACAACTGGCATTTGAGCCGGGCAGTGGTGGTGCACACCTTTAATCCCAGCACTCGGGAGGCAGAGGCAGGCGGATCTCTGTGAGTTAGTGGTCAGCCTGGTCTACAAGAGCTAGTTCCAGGACAGGCACCAAAGCTACAGAGTAACCCGTTCTCGAAAAAACAAAAAACAAACAACCCCCGCAAAACTGGCATTTGTAAAAGTACATCATAAAAGGATCAGGAAAATGAAGTCCCCAGTCTCTCTGTGAGCTATATTTATGGTTTAAGTTTCTTTTGATAACTAAGGTTCTTAATTCAAGAATTATATTTTTAAGCTCAAACTTACCATGGAAAAATTAAAAAATCCTAATGCTATGATAGAGTTACTAATTTATTATAAACTGTTACAAATAATTAAGATACACAATTTATTGGCCAGTCATGCTTAGTACAGATGTAACTCATTTACATGGACAAGATTGAAGAGAGAGAACAATTTTTATTTCCCATCACACTGTGCTTTGTATATGTTGTCAATATTAAGTAAAAAGCAAGTAAAGCAAACAAGCTTAAAGTAAACTTAAAGTTTGTTTAATGTAAAATGATACTTAAAATCCTGTATATAAAAATTAAGACAGAATACTTAAGTAAAATGGGTTAAATTTGAATACGCTTGCATTGCAGAAATCCTCGTGGCTCAAGCAGTTCCCTTAGATGCAGCACAAGTTCCCTTGGATGGAGCACCATCCCATCACAGTAAGTTGCATGCTAGTCTTATTTCAGGACAAGGATGAAGTAAGACCTGCCAGAAGACTGCTGCTTCTGCCTCTGACTGTGTAGACCTGGCCAGTTCCAGTCAAGTACGCCAAATCAGAAAAAGAAAAAAAAAACTCTTCATCTTAAAGGTAAAATATCCCTCATATCTCACACAACAGGGGAGACAGATTCTCTTACCCAGTGAAGTGTCTCAGAGTCTACACCCACATCCTAATTCTCTCAAACAATAGACAGGCAGATGGCAATTGCTCTGCCCTCAATGTCTCCCTAAAAGATATAAGAGGATGCTGTGAACAACGGAACCTTGTACCTAAGCCTGACTATACCTGACTGGTATGCAACCCGCATGCTAGTTCAATTGGAAATGCCCGATACCCTTGCACTTGAGTCTTTCTCTTAGTAAAAGCTAATTCCATGATCTATACTCTACCCATGTTTCCTCGTTAAAGGAGATGCCAGACATCTGCCATCAAGCTCACAACTTTGGAACATTACCCAGAATAGCCAAGAGGTATCATTGACAGCTGGTTTTATATCCGTAGGGTCAACAAATGATTCTATTCAGTCATATCCCAAGCCTTTAGATTCTTTAGGAGAAGATGACTTAAATGAAGGAGGTTGTCTCCACCTGGACTCACCTGTGGTGCTTTGGGAACACAATCTAATCTCTACCCAGATAGAGATCTCCAGGGCCAACACCTGTGCTCTTATCTTGAAGCCTACAAGAAGTAGAAGGGCTTTGGCAGTAGTGTTTGTGAGTGTTTCTAAGAAATTCCAGAAGCCAAAGGATCGTTTAACTTGGTTGCCTTGCTTTACAAATTATGCCTCTAAACAACTGATCTATTTTAAATAAAATGATATTAAAATCATGCTTACTGTTGTCAGCATGTGGTGACCTAGAGACTTGTCTACTGGCAGGAGGAGTCAAGAGTTGATATTAGCCTTCTTCTCAGCTCATAATGTATACATAATGTTACATTATTTATTATAGATTTGACATGACTGACTGCTTTCATCTGTTGGTTAGTGTGTGGAATGAAAGTGTTTTCGGGAATTTTTTAAAGGCTCTGTTAGTAAGATTAATTTTAGAAAACTTTGCAAAGCTAATGATTCTCTCTAGACAAGGCAGTCATTGTTTCTGGGACCATACTTTCTAAATTTGAAATTGAAAAATAATTTCTTTTGAGGACTACAGCTTTGAACTAAATTGTCTCTCCATCAGCCTCATATTTACTGGAATATATTTGTTGGAATATATGTATAACAATTTGATGTTAGCAAAAACATGCATTGTCATGTTTTCAAATACAAAACATGGTCATTTGAGGTAATAGGCCCAATTTTTAAAATTTCAACTTATCAGATTACATCTAATAAAAAATTTGTTTCACTTAAAATACTCCGTTTTGTTATTAAATAACAGCAGGCATTGTTACTATTTGAATCAAATATACAAAGTTTACCATATGTGGAAGGAAGGAATACCACTTAGGCCCTTTCTGTTCAGATTCATTACTTGGATGCTGACTTCAGCTGACTTCTTTTCCAAACCTTCCAGGTGTTTGTTCCTTATGCAAGAGTCTGATGTAAACAAACACCTAACTACAGTCACCTTATCCTTCTACAGAGCTCTGGTACACGGCCCAGCCAGTTGTACAATTGCATTTAACTCGTGTTAATCTTGATGTAAGAGTTTTTCTCATGTAATGCTCCCCACAAAATTGTGCAGTTACTATCTCCTGACTTGCTTGTGTTCTGCATCTTTGCCAACTGTCAAGTTCTCTCATGGTTCCTTGGATGGATCCTCTTCTGAGGCACTCTAACTGCTGTTCCCCTCATTGCCCTTCTGTCAGCCTTGAAGCAGTAACTAAGAAGCCGATGCCCCTAAAGCTCTAACAGCATTTAGGGTTACCTCTAAAAGGGGATTACTAGGCCATGGGCTCTCTAACTCACCCCTCTTCTTGCCACTCTGGACATTGTTTTGGGGACTCAGAACAGAATCAGCTGGACTGAAACCTTCTTTGCCTCAGTTGCCCTCTCTGTCTCTCCAGCTCAACATTCCCTAGGACCAGCTTGACTCTGTGACAGCTGCAGTACTCCAACATTGAAAAGGACTGGATCTGACCCCTGTCATGGGACTTGAGCCTTCTCCACAAATGATACTGCTTCTGTCCACACCACAAAGTCTAGCTGGTTTGAGATGGAGTCTAGAGAAAGAAACCAGACAAAAATTCCTTCTAGTTCCCTCCTCCCCCCATCACTCTTTTCTCTTTATTATGTTCATACCCATGTTGTTTCCCTGTCTTTTAAATGTTTTACATACAGAACATCACTCTAAACCCAAACAAAATGTTTCACATAAACTCTCCCAATAACTCTCACCCTATAACAGCCCAATTTATTCTTTATATGTCTGCAAAAAAGACCGTTTAGAAGCTATGGAGAAACTGTCGAAAAGGGACCTCATCCCTTTCACCCAAGACCAGACACAATTCTTTACCTGTGTTCTCTATTTTCTCCTGTTCTTTTCCTTGCTGCTCTGTAGCTCCCTGCTACCTCTGATGCCTCATTTTGATTCAACAGTTCTGGCAATGGGACCAGTCACTGTCACTCCGAATCAATTCTACGTTTTCTCTCCTCAGCTCACTCTCTCTCTTCCACCTCCGTTCCTCCTCCCTATTCTCCAACCTTCCTGGGAAATCTCAGCTCCACTCTGTAACCAAGTTATCAGCTTATAACCTCCTAATAGTTATTTCCCAAATCAGGACAGCAATCACCTGACCCGTCACAGCTGTTCAAGGCAAGCTTCTCCCACAGCTACATGGCAGAGTGTGCTCTCTTCAGTGGACCCAGAACTAGCCCCTCCAACAAACGCCCTCCTCATCAGAAAACAGCTATAACCTCTCTGCTCTGCATTTTCTGTGTCCTTCCAGAGTTAGCAATGACAGTTCTCTGCTGAAGGACTATACTTCCAAGTTTCCCTTGCAATCTTCAAAAGTCTTTTCTATCTTATAAGGGACCACATCCCATCTTCCTCTGTAGGCATTTTGGCCATTTATATACACATGGGTGGCAAAATGGTCCCTCACCATGAATAAACATGTTTCTGCCTAATGTCAGAGCTATTATTTCTTTTTTCTACCTTGCCTCCCTCTATTACTGCCTTTAAATAATCTAAACAATGGAGGAGGTTTGCCACTTGGTGGGGCAAGGGGGAGCTATGACATTTAAAAAGCCAATAGCTAGGCTCAGTCTTCCCCTCTTCCTGCCTGTAACTTTCAGATCACTTGTGAGTTCTTAGCTACTGCTCCAGTGTCATGACTTCCTTCCCACTGCCATGCTTCCTGTCACGATGACCATAACTAACTCTGTGAATCTGTAAGCAAGTGCCCAGTTAAATGCTTTCTTGTATACGCTGTCTTGGTTATGTTGTCTTTTCACAGCAATAGAACAGTAACTATGTTGGTGACGGGCAGTGGGGTATTGCTGTGATAGGCCTGACTTTGCTACTCTTTTTGACTTTGGGAGTTTGGATTAGGAAAGAGTTTGGGTGCTTCAATCAGGGCTTAATGAGCCATCCTAGTAGGATCTTGGAAGACAGTATATTGTGGAGAGCAATGTGGACTGTGGAGACCTAACTCAAGAAGTTTCAGGAATGCCTAATACTAGAGACAATTTTTGTGACATTTTAGCAAAGAATGTGCTTTCTTTCTCTTTTTAATTGATTTTTATTGAGCTCTACATTTTTCTTTGCTCCCCTCCCTGCCTCTCCACTCCCTCCTTCAGCCCTCCTCCAAGGTCCCCATGTTCCCAATTTACTCAGGAGATCTTGTCTTTTTCTACTTCCCATGTAGATTAGATCTATGTGAGTCTCTCTTAGTGTCCTCATTGTTGTCTAAGTTCTCTGGGATTGTAGTTTGTAGGCTGGTTTTCTTTGTTTTATGTTTTAAAACCACCTATGAGTCAGTACATGTGATGATTGTCTTTCTGTGTCTTCCATATCTATCACCATGCACAAAACTCAAGTCCAAATGGATCAAAGACCTCACCATAAAGTCAGGCACAGTGAACCGTGTAGAAGAGAAAGTGGGAAGTGCACTTGAACACATTGGCACAGGAGACCACTTCCTAAATATAGCCCCAGAAGCACAGACATTGAGAGAAACAATTAGGAATGCAATTACTTTCTGTAGCAGGCTTTCTTGGACTGCCAGCTCCCAAATCATGACATGGAGATTTATTATTAATTATGGATGCTTGTCCTTGTCTTATGTTTGTCCCACTAACTCTTATAACTTAATTTAACCTGTTTCTCTACATTTATGCTTTACTCTGGGGCTTTTTACCTTTCTTTCATTCTGTATGTCCTACTTTTCCTGCTTTCTCCGGGTCTGTCTTCTGGTAGCTGCCTGGCTGGCTGGCTGACCTCTGACATCTCCTCCTTTCTGATTAATGATTAATGTGAGAGGGGCTTGCCCACTGTGGGTGGTACCACCTCTGGACTAGTATACTGGTCTTAGGTTGTATACGAAAGCAAGCTGAGCAAGCCATGGGAACAAGCCAGTAAACAGTATCCCTCCATGCTTCCTGCTTCTGCTTGAGTTTCTGTTCTGACTTCCCTCAGTTATAGACTGTGATTAGGATATGTAAGAGAAATCAAACTTCCTCCAACCCAACTTGCCTTTCCTCCATATTTTTATCACAGTGGTGGAAAATAACCAGGACAGACCCATACCTAGTAAGGAGGTTGAATCTGTAACCAAAAGTCTCCCAACAAAGAAAAGCCCAGGATCAGATGACTTCACGGTTGAATTATTTTGTAGCGTAATTAACATCAATATTTCTCAAACTCTTTTGACAAAGCAGAGATGAGGGAGCAATTCCTAACTTATTATCAAAGCCAGAAAAAGGCACTACAAAAAAATTAGTGCAGACCAAATGAATTATGAATATCAACGCTGAAAATCTCAGCAGAAGACTAGCAAACCAATCTGACAACATATGAAAAGAATTCTATACTATAACTAAATGTGAGTATTCCCAAAGTGTAAGGTTTATTTGATATATGAAAAACAATTCATATAATAAGTGTCATATTGATAACAAAAGTACATGATCATCTCGATAAACACAGAAACAGTATTTGACAAAAATGTAACACCCTTTAATAAATGCTAAACACTTAGAAAACTGGAAAGAGAGAGGATCTTCCACAATCTGATCAAAGGTATCTATAAAAGCTTGTGGCTAGCATTCTATTCGATGGGAAAAGGAAAGACAACAACACAAAAACCAAGATGAGGATGCTCCCTAGCTACATTTAACCAATACTATACTAAAGGGTCTAGCCAGGGGTGGTAGACAAGAAAGAATAAACAATAACATTTACCTTGAGAGAGAAAAGAATAAATTTATTACATCTTTGATATAAAAATCCTAGGGAATTCACTAAAAAACTGCATAACTAATAAATGAGTCCAGCTAGCTTGTAGGCTGCAAGATCAATATACAAAAATCAATTGCACTTTTCTGCACTTGAACAGCCTGATATGAAATTAAGAAAATAATTTCATTCAAAATACCAACAAAGAAAAAATGCTTAGGGATAAATTTAACAAAAAATACAAAACTCATTTTGTACAATTATAAAACACTGTGGAAAGAAACTAAAGAGAATCTAAACAAATGGAAACGTATCTTATACCATGAATAAATAGAATTAATGTTGTCATGCTAGTGATAGTCTGCAAACTGATCTCCATGTTCAACAAAATTTCTATAAGAACTTGACTGGTTTCTTGTAGAAATTATCAAACAAATTCTAATATTTTCATTGCATTGCAATAGAGTCAGAATAGCCAAAACATTTTTGAAAAAGAACAAAGTTGTGGTACTTATATTTCCAGACTTCAAAACTTATTATAAAGCAACAGTAATATTTAAGAAGGCATAGTGCTGGTATGCAAATAAATATATACATCAATGGAATAGGTTAAGGGTCCAGAAATAAGCATATGCAGTGTTTATGACAAGCTTCTTTTTTTTTGATAGGCATTCCAAGGTCATTTAGTTCTGCAAGAATAGTCTCTCCAAAGAATCGTACTAGGACAACTGAATATCAGCATGACAAAATTAGAAGTTGGGTGTTTATCTCACATCTTCTGACTCAAAGACAAAAACAGTGAAAGTTAAAGCCATAAACTCTTTGAAGTAGCCATGTGTGGTATGGTGTATACCTGTAATCCTAGCACTCTGGAAGTAGAGCCAGCGGCATCACTGCAACTACAAAGCCAACCTGGACTATATAGTGAATTCCAGGCCAGTTAGGATATTTACTGACTCAAAATTATAAAATATTAATAACAACCTGTTTGAAGAAATTATATATAAGAGGAAATCTTCATGACCTCCTAATTGACAATGAATCTTAGTTATGATTACAAAAGTAAAAGTAGATCCACTGGCCTTTATAAAAATTGAACATGTTTGTGCTTATACAAGGTACTGTCCAAAAGTGATACAATAACACAGAAAATAGGAGAAAGATTTTCAAATTACATATCTGTTGTAGAGCTTGTCTACAATATATATGGAAATCATAATAATAAAAAGACAAGACAATTTAATTTTTCATCATAGAAATCAAAGTCAAAACCACTAGGAAACAGCACTTCACATCCATTCAGAAGACTATAATAAAAGTAAATCTGTTAACAACCAACATTTCCAAAGACTGGAAGGAAATTGGAGCCTTCCTACATTGCGGATAAGATTATATAGTGATGCTATTGCCTTGCTAAACAATTTAGCGGTTTCAAAACAGCAAATACAGAAGTGCTCAGAAATTCCATGATATACCAAGATGAAATGGAAGTGCACATCTACAGGAAAACTCATCCATGCATATTTATAGTGTGTTTATTCAAAATAGTGTGAAGGTGGAAGTAGTCCTAACATCTATCAACTGATGAGTGGTTAAACAGAATCTTATATAACCACTGAGGAGGTTTGAAAGAAAATGGCTCCCATAGGGAATGGCACTATTAGGAGGTGTAGCTTTGTTGGAATAGATGTGGCCTTGTTGGAGGAAGAGTGTCACTGTAGGGTGGGTTTTGAGGTCTCATATATGCTCAAGTTATGCCCAGTGTGGGACAGTTCCCCCAGACCAAGATGTAGAACCCTCAACTCCTCCTCATGCACTATGTCTGCCTGCACACTGCCATGTCCCACCATGGTGATATGGATGAAACCTCTGAAACTATAAGGTATCCCAATTAAATATTTTCTTTTAGAAGGGTTATCATGGCCAATAAAACCTTAACTAAGACAGAAGTTGGTACCAAGGACTGGGGTATTGATGTGATAGGCCTGACCATGTTTTTTGTTTGGAGAAATACGGACTTTGGCACTATGGATTAGAAAAGCAGTTGATCACATTAAGTGGTGTTTAATGGGCCATCCTACTTGAAGCACAGAGGACAGCGGTGCTGAGGGTGATTTGAACAGTGGGGGCATGCCTCAAGAAGTTTTAGAGAAGACTGTTAGCGTGTGGCCTAGAAACTGTTCCTTTGTTGTTGTTGTTTTGAGACAGAACCTATTCTGGAACTAGCTCTTGTAGACCAGCCTGGCTTCGAACACACAGAGAGTTGCCTGTCTGCCTCCCAGGCGCTGGAATTAAAGGCATACACCACCACTGCCTGATTTAGTAAACTGTTCTTGTGATATTTTGGTGAAGAATGTGGCTACTTTGTGCCTGTTTCTGAAAAGTTGGTCTGAGGTTAAAGTGAAGATGTTGGGTTGATTGTGTTGTAGAGGAAATCTCAAAACAGCCTAGTGTAGACTCTGATGTGTGGTTAGTAGTGTTAACTCTGATAAAGATATATAATGAAAAGGAGCAAGCTTAGCAAGAAAACTACAAAATGTACCATTTGAGGAGAAAAGGAACACCAGGAAGTGGAACCGAGCTAAGTCCTGTGTTTGAAAAGATAAAGATTAAAAAATGGAATAAAAGAAATGGTATTATCAGGGCAGGGTCCCACCTAGCTAAACTTCTAACTTGTGAAAAAGGATTAAAGAAAAGCTCAGAGCCAGGTATAGTGGTACATGCCTTACTCTCAGCACTCTAAGGCAGAGGCAGGTAGATCTCTAAGTTTGTGGCCAGTCTGGTCTACAGAGCAAGTTTCAGGACAGCCAAGATAGATAACTATTGAAAATAGAAAGTTAGTGAAGATGTAATTGAATGAGAGGGGGTCATGTTACAGTCCCATCAAGCAGCAGAACTTAGCAGCTTTGGTCATGTGATTCTGGTTTTAGAGTCAAGGATAGAAGAAAGGGGTTACACAATCTTCCTCCACTATTATGGAAAGCCACTGAGACCAGGCATATGTCATGGATGACCCTAAATGAAGGCCTAGAGAGGCCATATGTCAAGCTGTGAAGGTGAAACCTGGATTTTCATGGAGACTCCAAGATGTTGGAGATACCAAAGCCATAAGATACTTGCCAAGGAGAGCTGCTGTCAGGGAATGGAACAAGTCCAAGAGAAGGAAATGGATTGAAGTCAACAAAGATGAAGGGAGTTGGAGATCTTAAGAGTACATTGACATCACATACGGAGATATAGAGTTTGGAGCTTGCTCATGTGCTTTTCGGTCTTGATTTGGTACAGTATTTCTTCACTAACTTCCCTTTCCTACAATGTGAAATGGTAATGTATACCCGGTACTATTATATGTTGGAAGTATGTGATCTGCTTTTCTATTTTGATTTTTATAAGGGATTACTTTTAAGAAATTACATGATGCTCAGAAGAAACTTTGAGCTTTGAACTTTTAAATATTGTTAAGAGTATGATAGACTATGGGGAGTTTTGAAGTCGGACTAAATGCATTTTGCATTCTGTTAGAGCTGTAAACCTATAGGGACCAGGGAGTGGAATGTGGTGGTTCAAATAGGTATACCCCCAAAAGACTCATGTATTTGAATGCTTGGCCCATAAGGAGTGGTACTATTAGGAAGTGTGGCCTTTGTAGAGTAGGTGTGGCCTTGTTGGAGGAAGTGTGTTACTATGGGGGCAGACTTTGAGGTTTCCTATGTTCAAGCTACTCCCAGTGTTACACACCACTTCCTGTTGCCTGCAAGATGTAGGGCCCTCAGCTCCTTCTCCAATACCATGTCTGCCTGCACACTGCCGTGTCCTACTGTGATGATAATGGACTAAACCTCTGAAAATGTGAGCTAGCCTCATGTAAATGGAAGTTTCTGTCCTGCCCAGTCCCGCAGCTGTTCAGTCCCAAAGAATCACACAGATTACAACACTGTTTGGCCAATGGCTCAGGCATATTTATAGCTAGCTCTTACAGCTTAAATTAACCTTTTTCTATTAATCTGTGTATTGCCATGAGGCTGTGGCTTACCGGTCAGGTTCTGGCATCTTTCTCCTTTGGCAGCTACATGGTGTCTCCCTGACTCCACCTTCTTTCCTCCTCTATCTCTGCTTGGATTTCCCACCTTGCTATAGTCTTCCCTGCCATAAGTCAAAGCAGTTTCTTTATTAACAATTGGTAATAAAACATATTCAAAGCATACAGACTAGAATCCCACATCAGCCCCAATTAAATGTTTTATTTTATAAGAGATGCCATAGTCCTGGTGTCTCTTTACAGAAATTGAATCCCTAAGACATCCATATAGTGAGGTATTAATAAGACATGAAAAGGAATGGGGTTCTCATATATGATTCAACATGAATCTACTTGAAAACATTATGCTAAAGCAAAAGTGGCAGATGTAAGAGATAACATATTATGGGTTTGGAGGTCTTCTCTGCCACCACCTTAGACAGGTGGTTTTTCCAGCCTTTATCACATGCCCACATGATCCTGTCTGATCGACATGTTTGGGTTGTGCTCTGGCCCATGCACAGGCCTCTGGTAAACAGTACTCATCCTTTTTCTTCCCAGTCTGGACTACAAATTTATACTTTTTTGCCCCATTTTCAAGTCCATTGTGGACAAAGATTTTGTCCTGGAACTCAACAATAACCTCAGCATCTGTGGGACCCTCCACTCTGTGTAGCAGTATCTCAATATCAAACTGACATCAGTGTCACTGACCCTGAGAAACATTGTCACATGTTACCAGTGAAGAGCTGTTTCATCCTAGGCTCAGGAGTCTGCTCCCCGTACACATCAGTAGGCAAGGTAGACACATGGTTGTTACATGATGCAACAATCAAGAAAGGAAGTCCTGAAGTACAGTGTTGCCCCCTTTCCCATTGGCGACAAATAGCTTTGTGAATTGGCTAAAAAAAAAAGGCTTGCCTGATAACTGAGGTGTGTTTTGTTACTGATGATGTCTTGTTTTCATTTTTATTTGAATAGATAAGAGGCATAATAGAAGCAACTCCTCTGTTAGAAAAGGGTTGTTAAGAAAGTTGGGAACCTGCAAATCTTTCCCAGTCCCCAAAACCTGCCATCTTACTCCTTACCTGGGAATGGTGGGAGTTTTCTGGGTCTTCGCAGTATAGTATATCGTATATTTTGGGGATGGAACAAGTAATGGTTTCTTTTCTTGGGGGTGCAAAATGAGACCAGGTCTCTCTCTATAGCCTTGCTCGTCCTGAAACTCATTTTGTAGATCAGGCTGGCATCAAACTCATAGTAATCTACCTGCCTCTGCCTCCTAAGTGATGGGGTTAAAGACATGGGTGGGCTACCACTCCCAGAAGTAATGGTTCTTAAAGTAGGAGTTAGAGAGGTGATCACAAAGTAAAGGGTATAAAGTTTGTTTTCTCCACTTCTCTCTCTTCTCTCTCATTCTCTTCCTCTCCCTCTCAAAAGGTCTGTAGACAGTGTGGCCTCATTTTCCAGCTCTTCAGTATTGGAAGGCATGCTCCACCATGCTGAAAGTTTTCTTTTGAGGTAATGGAAATGTCCTATATTTGACTATGCTGTTATTAGTGAACATACTTTTTAAAAAAGAAAGAAAGAAATTCACTACATATTAGCCTTGATATCACAGCTGGACTTAGCAATTAATGCAATGAAGCTCAGTTTATCCCTCTTCCCTCCCCAAAATGACACTCTGGCACTCTGGGAAAACTGGATGGTCTAAATCTGGTATAAATTTATTCCTCCTGGGGAGCCATAGCACATAAACGAGGAAGTCATCAACTTGATGCTTCTGAGAAACTTGATGCTCTGAAAACTGGGTTAAAACAGAATACTCTTGAGCTGCACAGTGGTGGCACACACCTTTAATCCCAGCACTTGGGAGGCAGAGGCTGGCAGATCTCTGTGAGTTCAAGGCCAGCATGCTCTACAGAAGTAGTTCCAGGATACCTAGGACTGTTACACAGAGAAACCTTGTCTTGAAAACCCAAAAAACTAACTAACCAAAAAGAACAGGCTGCTCTTTCCATCTTCCTCTGCTACTTTTGTCCCTGGAAAATAGATCATTTGCTTAGTCACCAAACTTTTTTGAAGTTTTAGTTTTCTATAAAATGCTTTATTTGAGGTAGTGGTAATACATAGACAAATAGGTCTCTGGAAACTTTCTGTCCAACAGGTAGATGGGCATGTAAGTAACCTCCATAAGGGCCAAGAACTAGATCTCAGATTTTATAAACAAGGTCAGTTGAAAGTCACCCACTGAATTAAGAAAAATCAACATAAAATAGATAAACTTAACCATGTGGAGAAGATACACTCCCCTCCCCCCACTCCCTCTCCTCCTCCCTCACCATTCCCAAGAGCAGTCAGGGTTTCCTGTCCTGTGGGGAATCCAAGTTCCTCCCCCCTCCCTCCGGGTCCAGGAAGGTGAGCATCCAAACAGGCCAGGATCAAAAAGCCAGTCCATGCAGACGAAACAAGACCCAGTGCCATTGTCAATGGCTTCTCAGTCTTCATTTGGACCTCGGGGGCTCAGTCAGCCCCCATGTCAGCCACATTCAGAGAATCCGGTTTGATCAAATGCTCATTCAGTCCCAGTCCAGCTGGCCTTGGTGATCTCTCATTCGATCAGTCCCCTTGTATCAGTGGGTGAATGCACCCTTCGCAGTCCTGACTCCAGTGCTACAATGTGGGTCTCCGTCTCTATCTCCATCCATCGTCGGATGAAGGCCCCCTCTGATTTTGCTTTCCTTGCTCATGATCTCCCTCCCTCTGCTTCTCATTTGGACCTAGGGAGTTAAGTCCAGTGTTCCAATATGTGTCTCTGTCTCTATCTCCATCCATCGCCATATGAAGGTTCTGTGGTGACATGCAAAATATTTGTCAGTATGGTTATGGACCAAGGCCAGTTCAGGCACCCTCTCCTCTGCTGCCCAGGGAACAATCTGGGAACCTCTCCTTGGGCCTGGGAACCCCTCCAGAATCAAGTCTCTTGCAAACCCTAAAATGGCTCCCTTAGTTGAGATATAAACTTCCCTGCTCCAAGAACCATCCTTCCTCCCTCCCCCCACCCATTCCCCTAAGCCATCCCCAATCCTCCCCCACTCCCCTCCCCTAACTATCTTCCCCTACTTCCACACCCCTCCACCCCCCATGCACCCGAGTTTGCCTGGCAATCTTGCCTAGTTCTAATATCCAGGAGGATAACTATATGATTTTCTTCAGGTTCACCTTCTTATTTAGCTTCTCTCGGATCACAAATTAAAGACTCACAGACCTTTAACTATGGCTAGAATCCACTTATGAGTGAGTACATACCATATTTCACTTTTGGGTCTGGATTACCTTACTCAGTAAAGCGTTTTCTATTTCCATCCATTTGCATGCAAAATTCAAGATGTCATTGTTTTTTACCGCTGAGTAGAACTCTAATGTGTATATGTACCACACCTTTTTTAACCATTCTTCTATTGAGGGGCACCTAGGTTGTTTCCAGGTTCTGGCTATTACAAATAGTGCAGCTATGAACATAGTTGAACAAATACTTTTGTAGTATGATAGGACATCTCTTGGGTATATTCCCAAGGGTGGAATTGCTGGGTCCTGAGGGAGGTTGTCTCCCAGTTTCCTGAGAAACCGCCACACTGATTTCCACAGCGACTGTACAAGATTGCATTCCCACCAACAATGGATGAGTGTTCCCCTCACTCCACATCCTCTCCAGCATAGGCTATCATTGGTGTTTTTGAGTTTAGTGATTCTGAGAGGTGTAAGATGGTATCCCAAAGTGGTTTTGATTTGCATTTCCCTGATCGCTAAGGAGGTTGAGCATGTCCTTAAGTGTCCTCTGGCCATTCGAAGTTCATCTGTTGTGAATTCTCTGTTCAGTTCAGTACCCCATTTTTTAATTGGGTTAATTAGAGATTTAGTGTCTAGTTTCTTGAGTTCTTTGTATATTTTGGAGATCAGACCTTTGTCTGATGAAGGGTGGGTGAAGATCTTCTCCCAGTAAGAAAGGCAGCCTTTTTGTCTTACTGACAGTGTCCTTTGCTTTACAGAAGCTTCTCAGTTTCAGCAGGTCCCATTTATTCATTGTTTCTCTTATTGTCTGTGCTACTGGGGTTCTACTTAGGAAGTGGCCTCCTGTGCCTATATCTTGTAGACTACTTCCCACTTTCTCTTCTATCAGGTTCAAAGTGGACAGATTAATGTTGATGTCTTTAATCCATTTGGACTTGAGTTTTGTGCATGGTGATAGATATGGATCTACTTTCATTCTTCTACAGGTTGGCATCCAGTTAGGCCAACACCATTTGTTAAAGATGCTTTCCTTCTACCATTGTATACCTTTAGCTCCCTTGTCAAATATTAGGTGTTCATAGGTTTGTGGGTTAATATCTGGGTCTTCTATTCGATTCCATAGGTCGACTTCTCTGTTAATCTGCCAATACCAAGCTGTTTTCAATACTGTAGCTCTGTAATAGAGTTTGAAGTCAGGGATGGTAATGCCTCCAGAAGTTCCTTTATTGTATAAGATTGTTTTGGCTATCCTGGGTTTTTTGTTTTGCCATATAAACTTGATTATTGTTCTCTCAAGGTCTGTGAAGAAGTTTGATGGGATTTTGATGGGGATTGCATAGAATCTATAGATTGCTTTTGGTAGAATTGCCATTTTTACTATGTTGATTCGTCCAATCCAAGAGCAGGGGAGGTCTTTTCATTTTCTGGTATCCTCCTCAATTTCTTTCTTCAAAGACTTAAAGTTTTTGTCAAATAGGTCTTTCACTTCCTTGGTTAGAGTAACCCCAAGATATTTTATGCTATTTGTGGCTATCCTGAAAGGTGATGTTTCTCTGATTTCCCTCTCTGCTTCTTTATCCTTTGTGTATAGGAGGACAACTGATTTTTTGGAGTTGATCTTGTATACTGCCATGTTACTAAAGGTGTTTATCAGCTGTAGGAGTTCTTTGGTAGAGTTTTTAGGGTCGCTTATGTACACTATCATATCGTCAGCAAATAATGAAAGTTTAACTTCATCCTTTCCAATTCGAATCCCCTTGATTCCTTATGTTGTCTTATTGCTATTTCTAGAACTTCAAGCACTATATTGAAAAGGTATGGAGAGAGTGGACAGCCTTGTCGTGTCCCTGATTTTAGTGGAAAGACTTTGAGTTTCTCTCCATTCAATTTGATGTTATCTGTCGGCTTGCTGTAAATAGCTTTTATTATATTTAGGTATGATCCTTGTATCCCCCATCTCTCCAACACCTTTATCATAAATGGGTGTTCAATCTTGTCAAATGCTTTTTCAGTATCCAATTAAATGATCATATGGTTTTTTTCTTTCAGTTTATTTATATGATGGATTACATTGATAGATTTGCGTATGTTGAACCAGCCCTGCATCTCTGGGATGAAGCCTACTTGATCATAATGGATAATTTTTCTAATGTGTTCTTGGATTCGGTTTGCCAGTATTTTATTGAGAATTTTCGCGTCGATGTTCATGACTGAGATTGGCCTGTAATTCTCTTTCTTGGTTGTGTCTTTGTGTGGTTTTGGTATCAGGGTAACTGTAGCATCATAAAAGTAGTTTGGCAATGACTCTTCTGTTTCTATATTGTGGAATACATTAAGGAGTATAGGTATTAGTTCTTCCTGAAAGTTCTGGTAGAATTCTGCATTGAAACCATCTGGTCCTGGGCTTTTTTTGGTAGGGAGATTTTTGATAACAGCTTCTAATTCTTCACGGCTAACCGGTCTATTTAGATTGTTCACCTGTTCTTGGTTCAACTTTGGTATATGGTACTTATCTAAAAAGATGTCCATTTCTTTTACATTTTCCAGCTTTGTGGCATGTAAACTTTCGTAGTAAGATCTAATGATTCTCTGAATTTCCTCTGTGT